ATATACGTTTGATTTGATCTGCTGTTTCTCTTCTTTAATATGTTTGACCCGAGGTTCCTAAGGGTATTTTGGGCCAGAACCTGGATTTATATCTGTTACATATTCTCAATATGGAAGGTCTAATGAAACATTTTTTGAAATACATATTAACTTTCTCATACCATAAATATCCATGCCATCATCATGTTCTTCTAACTCTGAAAGTTTCTGGCTTCTCAGTAGCACTCATTTTTTATCCTATCCAAGCCAAACAACAAGCAGCGAAATACAATTTCAAATCCTGCAAACCCAACCCTTCTCTTTCATTTGCATGGTGAAGATGAACTAAAACCATGTTGGCTGGGGAATTATGAAAGTTGCAAGCATCTTAAAAGTTGTCCAATTTGAAAAACACTTATTTACACTATTAATAATAAGATGTAAATTTCCATACAATGTTTTTAAAGTCCTGATTCAAAAAAGGGACCTTGGGGCTTTCTCTAGTTTCATGGCAGAAAGATTAAAGTTTCTTCAATCTTAAAAAGCAGTAATAGGAAAGCTCAGCTAAATGGAGCAGGAAATCTGATGGGCATATGGTATATAAACTAGTGATTTTAATTTGCAATCTTGTTGAACACTGGTGACCAAATTCTCAAGACCATTAGAATTTTACATTGGAGTCCATTGGAGATTGCTAAGAATATTTCTGGACATTCAAAATTATTTGGGGAGAAGGGGATATTTATATTGAACAAAGGCTTCTTTATAGCTCTTATCTTGGTACATTTGGGGAATAATAAGGCATAAATGTTGGTCTATAAATTGTAAGAAGTGTTTCAAGAGTGATGGATCTCAGTCTTACTAGCTTTTGGGGAGAACGGCAATTTATGACATGTTAAGGATAAACGGTTGGATTATATTTCTGAAAAACATGTTCCATCAGGTAAAATCATTGTGATTATAGGCTCTAGTAGTTTAAGTAAGGAAGTTATGCACTAAAAGGTTGAAATTGTAAAACACATATGCTTGTACTTAACTGCTAATCCTTCTCTGTATCTATGTTGAATAAACTACAAGAAGATGGGGGGGGATATGCTTGGCATTCAACAATAAAGAGCATAATGGCATATTGTTTCATCTTAATAAACAAAGACTGCAGCACTGCTTTCTTTCAAAATGAACCATACTGGTCTTTCTATTCTGTCTTCACTGGGGAATTCAATTTAAAATATTGACTAATTTAATTGGTTTTAATGGGAAGGAAGTACACATCAGGAACCAAAATGTGTTTAAATTTGGCAGGCCTGCACCTCAATTTTATATTTTCATATCACCCCCTTTTTTCCACTGTGGAAATATACTTCTTAGCTTGAACGATGTTTACAGTCTATAACAGTTACCCATGTCTTTTGAAATTCCTGTGGCAGAAAACATTTTGTGGGTAAATTTATTTCAAAGAAAGCAAATGTTTTGGTACCTTAAAATAAAATAAAAAGATGTATTTATTACTACTGGTGCAATGTACTGTATATCAAAAATTACAGTCAAGGAATTACTACATGAGCTCATCAACAAGTTGGAAAAATGTCTTGTAGGATGAAAAATTGCCACACACAATATCCTTTATGGCACTAGATACCGTGCCAATGAAAAGCATGTGCCAAAATCTTCAGGATGAGGTAAAAATTGTCTCCGTGAGTTACTTCATGAAAAAACTTTTTTTTCTTGCCATTAGTAAATTCTTCCACAGATCTTTTGAAGGTTAACTCCAGCTATTCATATCTTTGTGATTTGCTTTATTTTGTTTTAAAGTGTTGTGTAGTTTTAGATATCCTTTTCTAAATATTACTGTTTTCACATAATTTTTCTGTTGGAAAATAAAAGCAATCTAGCATTACCATATATGAAATGAACAGTCAGGGGATAAACATTTTTCTTTACCATTTTTCAGTTGAACTTGTACTGTATGGTTAATCGTTTGTGAGTGAGCAGGTAACATGACTTATTCAAGTAGGATTTTAAAGTTGGAAAAATATGCATAATTTTAGAACATTTATGCTCACCATAGGACTCTTTGTCCACGGGTGTAAACTTTATGCGATAACTTGAAGTGAATAATATTTGAGGAACAGAAAAAGACGGCAAACTCAGCTTTCTTATTTCAAAACTACCTTGTGAAAACTTTGAACCTACAGAAAACAGGATAGCGTTCATCGCTTTAAATGTGCAATATTAGTAATGTCAGAGTCATGTAATGAGTAATGATCTTGTTCTGGTCTTTCCATTTGAAATGCTGGCTGGCAAACCTTCCTGACACATTCATCTTGCAGACATCCTCTTCTCCTGTGCCCCTCTCCCCACCAAAAAACAAAAACAAAAACCTTAAGGAATTTCATGTCATCTGCCTTCCTATGGTTGAATTCAACAGAAGGTTTATCAGATCAACTGTCTTGTAAGTTAAGCTTTAAATTACCTAGAAAACAAGATTGTGTTTAGTTAAACTAAGCGTTCTGAAAAACCTTCTGTGCGGAAAAAGCAGTTCCAACATTCATTTATGTAAATTATTCCAGACATTGACTCTGTCTAAAATTTCTTCAGCAATTGGATTTACAGCTTAATAAAATAAAATGTGGAACTCTCCCTTCCCCAAAGAGCCCTTCTAGTTCATAATAGCAATGTACTACAGTAAATTACTCTGTCATTAAAAATGCAAATAGTCCTTAGTAACTGACTTTAAATTTTGTCACAGATTTTAGTGCTACTTTCCTTTCTTTTCCTGAATGAATTTCTGGAGATGGGGTATTTAATCAGGCCTCTACATCTTATTCTATTAATGGTTCTCTTTTCCCTCGTTAACCAGCATGACATTCCTCTGACAAGCTGACTACATTTTATTTACATTACTTGCCTGTGGATTATTGCATCTGTACAAAGATGTAAATATCCAGGCAAACCTCACACAAGATTTACATGATTTGGGCGATGGAAGGATATTCAACGCATACAAACCCCAACGCATGAAAAATTAATATCCCTAGCAAACCTTTCTCTTTCTATTGCAAGTTAACCTTTTCTTTTTGAGTTACCAAGTTGAAATACTTTTGTAAGGGAGAATATATACCGTACGTACTGTCCTGCTTCCCTCCCCCTGCCAACCACCCAAGATTTACACTTTTTAAAAGAAGATATAGGAAACGAAATCCAACATACTTGGGGAGAACTGACTTTTATGTCTAAGGTTTACAAGCATTTTCATACTTGGTGGGTTGGTTGATCACTTTAATTTGAAAAATCCCTTTCGGAAAAAGCCACAAATAGCAAGCACCTGAAATTAGTTCAAAATATGAGGAAACATACTCCGCTAATATTATTTTAGGCCCACAGATATGGATGTATGCATGTATGTATGTGTATGTATGTTTTTTACCCCACAGTTTTTCCTGAGATTTGAACCAGATACTTCACCTCTGATCATATTTGATGTAGGAATTTTGACTTTTGCTGATTAGAAACTTTTGGAATAAACAGATCAAGGGTTCGACAAAGCTTTCCATAAATATAACTGGAGTCGATCAATCTCTGGCAGGCAGGGTCGTTGTGATTTATAACTATGTAGGTGATGGTCGCCTCTGGGGGTTACAGTTTAGCTTTTGCCTTTCATGTAGGGTCTCGCTTAGCGTTCCATTAAAAGAAAAGATCTGATATTGAAAAAAGGCCAACACCACTTTGCAAGGATCTTTCCAAAGACCAAGCAAATAAACCCCAAAGTTTGGCTTTCAAACCCTTCCAGCACCCGAGACAAAGGCTGACCCGGGTCCATAGGCATTTTCTCGCTGACTTTCTTCGGGAGGTCACTTTTGATCGGAGTGCAAGGCCACATCGGAGGGAGCCATGGGCTCCCGGGAAGAGAAGTACTCCCAACCACTACACCTCCCATCCCAACAGGGGATGGAAAGTAAAGTCCTTGAGAAGATACCCCAGAAAACTCCGGGGCTTCTATCCCAACAAGCGCGATGCAACGGAGCAGCATGACTGGAGCAACCAGCCATGATTCAAGGCGGAGCCATGAGTTGGGGCACATGCCTCGCAGGCAAGCGCTCCCAGCGACCCCGGTTCGAGACCCCCTTGTCCGCGTCGGGACTCAGCCGCCCCCGCCCCCTCGCCCCGGCGTCCTTTCAAACTTCCAGCGGCCAAACTGAAAAACGCCCGCGGCTCTTTTTTTTTTTTCCAAAGCGATTGGAAACGAAGGGGGAGGAACGCGCAGAGGAACTCCCGAGCGAAGGCCTGCCGGCCGGCCCCCACCATCCCCGCCGCTCCCACCCGCCGGCCGGCCCGGCCTTAGGGGACAGCAGAGCGGAGTGACCAGAGCCTCGCCGCCTCTCGCGTCCCAGGGAGGAAGATGAGGAGGACGGGAGGGAAGGAGGGAGGAGGCGGCGGCGGCAGCAGCGGCGGCGGCAGCAGCAGCAGCAGCAGCAGCAACAACGGCAGCAGCGAGAGCGGCTGAGCCGGAGAAGGAGGAGCCTTGGTCGCTCCGGAGGGCCGGGCTTAGGCCGTCCGCGGCCACAGGGGGGACGCCTGCACTGTCTCTTTAAGGGCTCTCCGGCTGGGGTGGCGCTTTCTCTCGTTCGCTCAGGCTCCCTTTGATATTAATAGTGTCGGTATCTTGAAACTGACGTCATGGTCGAAGACGGAGGTCCTGACAAGCGATAACACTTGTGATAAAGCGCGGAGCTCGGGCGCAGCCTCCCTTTCGGACGCTTGTTTGTTCCGCGCCGAGCCCGGCGCTCCCCCGCTCTCTGCTTAAAGCAAGAGACCCCCCCCCCCCTCGCGCTTCCCCCTTGGCTTTCCACACACAGCCCCCTCCACCCCAATCCGCGAGGGGCGAGGAGGAAGGGGGGCCCGGGAAGGTAGACCTTTCTTGTCTCTCCCCTCCCTCCTCTTCTGTCCCCCCCCCCAGTCAGCTCCTTAACCCTTTCTTCTTCCTCCTCCTCCTCCTCCCTCCTTCTCCTTTCCTCCTCCTCTCTCTCCTCCTTCCTTCCTTCCCTCTTCCCCCCCCTCTCCTCCCTCCCCACCTCTTCCAAAATAATCCCAAGATCAACTCTTGTTGCAAACAACAGAAAGACGGTTCATGGCGCAAGCGGCGGTGCCACCATCTTTCCAGGCGCTGCGACCATTATTGCTCGTATTATTGCTGATTAATCAACAGGTAAGCCGGACCGCGGCTACGGCCGCCCCGCCGGTGGGGGGCTGGGGGGGGGTGGAGGTCGCGTGGTGAGGACATGCCGGGGGTGGGGGTGGGGTGGGGGGTTGCTGGAGAGGAGGAGGAGGAGGAGCAGGGGCCGGCCAGCTCCAGAGCCGGAACGGTGTTGAGTAGATGCGTGAGCGTGTGTGTGTGTTTGTGTGTGCGGGGACGGGGGAGGGGGGGAGGTGAGGCGATGGAGGGGGCGCGCGGATCTTTTCCGGCTTCTGCTCTTCGCTGCGTGGTGGTGACGCGGGTGGCTGGTTGGGTTCCGACGCTTCGCCGCTCTGGGTTGCCGTCCGCGCCCGCGAAGGGCTGAGAGAAAGAGAGGGGGCAAGGGTGGCTTGGAAAAGAGGGCCGGGGGGGGGGCGGTTTGGCCTGGCCGCGTCAGCTTCCCTTCCCCACAACACCCCCCATAAAGCAGAAGCTTGGGGAGGGGGGGGAGGTTCGAGCCTCAGCAAAGGGGTGCCGGGTGGGCAAGGCGCCCCGCTTTTCTTCTTTTTAGATTCCTTTACCCGAAGGGCTTTTGTGATGAACTCGTGTGTCGATGCCTGGAAATTGGCGTCTTGGAAACTTGCAGTAGCCCGCTTCGGCGAGTCAGCAAAGGTCAAGTTCAGCAGCCGGGGAGAAGCGAGAGGGGGGGGGGGGGAAGCCCTTCCCTCCCATTTTCTCCTCTCCCCCCGCCCCACCAACAAGAAAGGAACTTCTCAAGCTGTGGCTTTGCTAATCCCCTTCCCCTCGAGAGTCTGCACTGCTTTGGTTTAATTCCCCTCCATCGGGAAAGGAGAGGTGCCCAGGTTTGCCCCCCTTCCCTACTTTATTTTGCTGGATTCTTTTTTTGAAAAATTCGTTTTTTAAAAAATCTTGTTGGCTAATCTTGGCCCCAAGACACCCCCCCCTCCCCCGTGCCTGTCTCCCCAAATTGAGCTCCTTCTCTTCTTGATTTTTAAATGGGAATCGCAAAAATAGCCGGACTCCAGAAGGATGATGCCACATGCAAAGTAGTAAGTCCTCCCTTCTCCTTTTGCTCCCCACTTTGGGATGTTTGAGAATACTTGGGTTCTGTGTGCAACTTTCTAGAGAGATAGGGTGAGGAGAAACATCACACCAGGAGGGGAGGGGGAAACAAAAAAAAAGGATGAATATGGAATAATGTGTACATTGATGAGATGGGGAGAGGAAAATGTTTATTTGCTGAGCAATTTTTCAGCCAGGAAGAGGACTTTTATGGTAATTTCATAGTTTAAAGAACTTTTTATTAAGAGCTTTTTAAAGACTGGGACCCCCTACTCATTCCTCTTGATTTTGTTCCAAGCTACTTTGTCTACTTTTTTTTCCACTCACATTTGCTAGCACTGAGGACAGATTTCCTCTCCCCCCCCCCCCCCCCAAATCACAATGAATGGAGAAGTGCAAACTTCCTAGCACTTCAAGAAAGAAAGATTGTAGTAACTTCTGATAAACAGAGGGAGGAAGCTGGTGGGCTGGTGTGTTATTAAAGTTCCCAAGAAGGGGTTTTTCTTTTGGTGAGGGTGCTTTCAAACCTGACACTTTGTACCCCATGGGACTCTTTTCCCCACCTCCCCTCCTCTGATCTTTGCCTTTGATCCTAGGAGAATGCTTGCTAGATCTCAGTACCATTTTTAAGTTGACTGGTGCTCTTTGGCAAAGAGGGCTTCTTCCCCTTTGACGATTTATGTGGGCTCCCTTTGTTATTCTTCTGGTAAACAGGGTGCTTTCAAAGTTGTGGGGGGGAGAGGAGGAAAAAGTTATACATGTACACATGTTATATGTATACACTATTTTCGCTTCCTTCGGCAAATGTCAAACCTCTGAATTCCCTGGATTGAAAAGATTGGTAGAAAGTGAAAAGTCAACGAACAAATGATGGGGAGTAAATCAGAGAGAGATCTCATAAAGATTTGCTTTACCATTCTGATGACAGTTAGCAAGACATTTTGGAAAGTTGGAAGAAAATATAGTGTGTGTGTGTATGGGGGAGGGCGGAATACAAAATTGGAGGAAAACATAGTTAAGTAAAAGACTGTGTCTGCAGTGTCTAGCACTTTCCTGAATACCACACCAAGTTTACTTGTTGTAGTAAACAATCACACACTCAGAATGGCTGGGAAAAAAAATTGGAGAGCTTTTGATAAATCTTTGGCACAATGTATACATTAATAGGGTATTTTAATTTAATGTTTTATTTCCCCTCCCCCTTCATACACATTAAAAGGAATCTCCCAACTATTGCATTGGGAATAGTTTATGCATTATTCTTTTGTTCTACGTGACTTGAAAAATATCGTAAGAATTGAAATATTGGTGAAGTTTTTTTAAAAAAACCAAAAGCTCAAGTTAACATATAAAGTTCAAATAAGCGATAAAGGTTTATTGGAGAAAACAATAAAAATGTACAGTAGAGTTTCCTGAACAGAAGGCAATCATTGTCCTCATGTTTGCAATATGTCTGTTAGGTGAGAAAACCCTTTCAAATATTTCACTAACTCGGCATATTAAAAATCATTAAAAAAAAACCTTTAAACTTATGTTTTTGCTAAGTCTTCTGGCTCATGCAAATAAACTCTTTCATGAGAACACCAACTATTTCCTGTAAATCGTGATGCTGACAAAACGATCTGGAAATGCTATCAACGTTTTTGTAAAGTTTTTTTTTTATGACTGGTAGTGAAAGTTTCTGACAAAGTTGGCTAACGCAAACAAATGGAATACTTTAGCTCCTTTCCCCCCTTTAAAAAAAAAACACAGAGGGGTCATTATGTTCTTTTAAAAAGGTATAACACCAGTTAAATTGTGGATTATGCATTTACCAGAGAGAGAGAGGCGCCTGTGCAGCTGCTTAACTTCATCTAAACCCTAAAATCTCACTTGCACCATATGCTTAAATTTGCATGATGCAATTTAGAGATGGGATTTTGTTCCTATATTGCTGTGCTGTTTCTTAAATGTGATGTGGGAGAGGAATGAAGAAGATAAATGTATTTTTTAATCAGTTAGGATTCCATAAAGATATAACTTAAAGCCTATAAATGTCTTCTTAGTTTTTCCAGCTTCCCAATTCTTTGATTTAGGAGGGGATGTCAGGTTTTTTTTTGAAACCTTTGATTTCAAACATGTAGGTTTTCTGGAATTCAAGCAAGCCTCACAGTGAAATTCTCCATAGGACTTCGATGGAGTTTTCTATGAATTAAGAGTAGGATTGAGATGTAAGGCCTTGCGCCAATTTAGCCAGGAATTTTTGAATTAGTTTTTAAATGCATAAAATACGCAATGCCCTTTTGAGATCTTGGGGGAATAGCATAGTACATACTTTATAAATGACAAAAAGAGTCAGCTTTTATGGATGCACATATGTGTGTTTATATGCACACAATATATATCTTTGTATTTTTTTTGCTCTATAATATCTGATTTATCCATTTGCAATATGGGACTAAGTCTGTCGACTCAAAAGTAAGTCCTTCTGCGTTTACTGATGTATTCTTCTGTAAGCAGAGCATTTCAGCCTTAACTAATCCTTTATGGTGCTTTATGTTTGTGGCATATATGAGCGTATATACTGTATGTCCATATACAGCATTTCTGCTCTCTAGTCCTGTTAATAAAAAATATGTAAAAACAGCCTTCTTTGTAAAAGGGTTTTTTTTTTCCCTGTAAGTTCTTCATTCAGACCATATTTTACTTTCCACGCAGACAGACGGGCTTCGGGAATGCCTTAACATTTTTCAGACATTAAGGTCAGATGAACTAATTACTTCTTGCTGTTAAGGTATCTAGAGATAGTCCGGATAAATTACTCTTTTGCAGTTAGGAATCTGAAAAGTTAATAATTCCAGAAACTAGATCATTTGGGGAAAATATTTATTAATGGTTTTTAACATTGCCATTAAGCTTGGTCCCATAGTAAAGGCTTTAAAAATCAGGTACATTTCAATAGATATTAAGATACTAATATCTGACTGACATCAACAGTATAATAAGTATACCTTTTGTCCAAATCAATCAGATCTTACCTATACGATACTAGCAGAGCTGATTGTCATAATGGTTTATGAGTCACACAACACTTCATTATAAAGTAAAATAATTAGGGAAGCTAAAGATAAAGTATTTTGACTCGTCCAATTTGAATTTGGGGGGAAAAAAGTCTGTAAAAAAGTGAAATAAAATTTGTCGTGATACGTCTAACGTGCTTGGAACTCAAACTCAACCTAGAAACTTGTGGGCTAGGAAAATTTAAGTGTTTGGAGAATGTAATAAATGGATTTTTTTTTCAAAAATACAAATAATCTTTCACATTAGTTTGGAATCAATGTATTAATTAACTTTAGATCTTGCTATATTGTAAAGTTTAAAGTTTTGCATACTACTTAAGTGGATACAAAGAAGTCAGACTGATTAAAGTCCCTGTTGGTATTATTTAATTTTATTTCCACAAGAAAAGTAGTGTATTTCTGGGGCTTTTGGTTAAATTATCTGTCCAAAATATTACATTTTACATTACAAAATGGAATTGATTAAAATCAGGCGTGTACATTTTTGAGAGACGTGTAGGAAATTGTAGACTACCAACATTTTTGTGGTGGCTTTTTTTTGTGATTTGTGATTTTTGGGATGTCTATTGGTTGATTCAATTTCACCTGATTATTCACCTCTTTTTGGAAACTTCATGGAGTTTATATTTATAAGATATTAGTATCACTTCATAGATATTGGTGAAAAATTCCACTTGATAATAAAGCTTTAATATTTTCATTTCCTACTTAACGTACTTAAAAGAGATTCACAAATATATCCATTATTAATACTTACCCTGCAGATTAGTGCACTCTATTTTTATGATTAGACAATACGCAGAATACTTTTAGATTATAGTATTGATGAAACCCCGAAAAGAACAATTTTTAAAAATTATCAATTATTATTGAATCTTGGGAAAGTTGGAA